ACTTAAGATGTGTGAGTGTGTGTGTCTTCATTTTCACTATTATTGATGAACACATTTTCAGAAAAGCTGGATTTCTATTGATTTGAAGTCTTTCTTGCTATGTGAGTCAACAAGTAGCCAACAGCCAAGGAAAGAAGGGTGCCACTTGACCTTGGACTTAGGCAAGGCCAAGGTGGTGGGGGTGGGGGTGGGGTCTCTGGAAGGACTTGTGTTCCCTATTAATGGCTTGGTTATGGTCACTTAGAGATACACAACTTTTCTTCTGCCAGAAGAGTATCTTTGATAGCAACATTCCTCATGCACACTTCTCTCTTTTCTCATCCCCGCCCTCCAACCCCTGCCAATCTCTGCCTTATAGCCTTCTGAATTATCCAATCTTGTAATTTTCACATTTTATTTTGCTAGTGTCTGCCTCTTAGTGTGTTAGCTTAACTCTAAAGCATAAGAATAGTTTTACGATTTGAGAGGCGGCAAAATGCTGCTGAGTAGGGTCTTAGATGCCATGAACTCGGTGGTCTTTCCTTTGCCTTAGCTATTACCATTACCCCTATTTCATGTTTCCATAGCACCCTGTACACCCCCTTGTAACAGTGCAAATCTATGTATTTCATTTTTCCCATATCCTTCTTCCCCACTAGGCTGGGGTCCCTGTCAAGGCAAGTCAGCTTTGCTCTCTATCAACTGTCCCTTAGTTACTCTACACATATTTGTGGAATAAAATCTGAGTGAAACATGGTTATCTCTGGACCACAACTGGTTTTCTGTACCCAGGGACACTCAGGATGCTTGCCTGTCTTCCATTCTGGGATTCACATTTCATGCATTTTCTTGGCCTTTATTTTTTGCCCTGATGGTGGATGATGTACTATTGTTACCTTGAAATAATGCATTTTCACAATTTAAATAAGTGGTTTCCAGTATCTCTTATATCTGGAAATGACACATCCTCACCCCCGTGATAACCTAGAAATCACATGAGCTCATCTCCCCCAACCAGCACCCTAGTTTGTTACACAAAGAAACAGAGAAGGTCTCCCAAGCCCACTGTATTATGAGACTTGCTCCCAAGCCCCTGCCCTGATTCTCAGCCATCTTCATCTTCCAGGTAAACTCTTAGGAGTCAGAGTCCTAAGCACAGCAGAATTCATAACTTGGAAGCTTGAAAACGTCACCCCCATTTCTATCTCAAGGGGATCTGTGTGGCCCTTTGTGAATGAACCTAGGAGTCTTGTAGCAGCTAAAAGAGTCTTGTAGAGTGAAGAGACAGAGAAAGGCCAGAGTGAGGTGACCCCATCTGGGTATGGGGTGGTGGCGGAAGGGGTCTGACCTGGGTAGGAAGAAGGTTTCTCATTTAATTGCCTGAAATTCAGCCAGTTCTGAGCAATTTATAAAGGGTATTTTTCCTTTTGACCTCCGCTCACAGCAAAATCAGTAGTGATTTTCTTCCTCCTAGCATTCTTGTAATTGTCCAGTCTAAGTAAAGATACACCCTTGAAACACTTGCTGTTCTAGAAGGGCTATCAGGAATCCCCTTTCTCTTCCTCCTCCTCCTCTTCTATATTCTTCATCCTCTTCATGATTCTCATCATCATCACTACGATCACTATACAGTGTTGCCAAGGAAGCACTTTATACTTTTCAAATACCTTCCCATCTATTAATAATTTGGCCCTCACCATCACTCTGGATGATATTCCAGTAGAGATTCAATATGCCCATTTTCGAGATAGGAAAACTAGAGTTCAGATGGGGAAGGCAATTTGTCCAAGATAGAGGCAAGGATAAAACCTGGCTACTTCTCTTCTGAAAGTAGTGAGACAGAAGTTTTCTTTGGCGCGGGGGTGGGGGGGGGGCGGTGGGTGGTTGGGATGGTGAATAAAGAGGTGGAGGATGGGCAAATGAGAAGGGGCAGGACAGATCAGGAAGATCTAGAATGCAGAACCAAGGGACTGAAGTTTTAAAGATGTGAAACTCAGATGAAGACTCCCAGTACCATGGAACTGAGAGGATCACTCTTTCCGGAATTGGCTCTTGTTTAGTTGCTAAGTCATGTCCGACTTTTTTGCAACCTCAAAGACTGTAGATTACCAGACTCCTCTGTTCATGGGATTTCCCAGGCAACGATACTGGAGTGGGTTGCCACTTCCTAATCCAAGCGATCTTCCCAAACCAGGGATTGAATCTGAGTTTCCTGCTTGGCAGATGGATTCTTTGCCACTCAGCCACCTGGGAAGCCCCAAAATTGGGTCTGAGAGGCTCATAACTGCAGGGAATTCCCAATGAATGGCCACATCCTTCCAACTCTGAAGTGAGGACTTTCATAGACAGTCTGAAGATAAATGGAGCTACTGAATGTTTTTGTTATTATTGCTGTTGTGTTTTGAGCTGGGAGATATCAGTTAAAAGGTCAAGGCATTCATATCTTTCAGGTACAGATCATTATGTGCAAAAAGCAATGACCATGAGAACAATGCCAGCTGCACTATTTGGAAGGACGAATTCTCCTTCTCATCTCTGAACCACTCGCAGCTGCATTTCCAGGGCTGTGAATCATCCATTTGAGGGAAGGGAAGGGAATAGAATGTTAAATACAATTTATGCTTTGCTAATTGAAATCAAATACAAAATTCAGTCTCCTGTGAGTTGCCATGCTTATGTTTAAACTGGGTGGAAGTGTCATTAACCTGAGACCATTTTCATAGGCTGACTTGGTTTTGATGGATAGGAAGAAATTCCTTTGTCAAGTTTCCCCACCAAAGAAGGGGATATGGCTTGTTGACTTGCTTCAAGTCTCAAGAACCAAGCTAGAGAAGACACTGCCGAAAAGAGAACTTAAATGTGCCAAGTTGGCATTTTTCTTCAGAACCATGAGCTTGCAACCACATCACCAAACAGATGCTAAAATAAAAATTCTCCAGATATCAAGGCTTAGGCCTCTGCCCTAGTTCTCCAGAGAACTTTAGCCTACTGCTCTATGCAAAAGGGATAAATGCTTAGGGAGAGTTTCCCACTTTGATTTCCCAGGTCAGAATGGCTCTTAACCATGGGCTAACCATTTAAAAAGTGGATTTGCTTTTCCTATCCAAGTGAGGATGCATACTCACTAGGTTTCTCTTTTATGCAGCACTTGAGGGCTTCCTTCGTGGCTCAGACAGTAAAGAACTTGCCTGCAATGTGAGAGACCTGCGTCCAATCCCTGGGTGGGGAAGATTCCCCTGGAGGAGGAAATGGCAACCCACTTCAGTATTCTTGCCTTGGGAATGTCATGGACAGAGGATCCTGGTGGGCTACAGTCCATGGGGTCACAAAGCATTGGCCACAACTGAGCGACTAATGCTTTAAGGTCTTGGTATTCTGGGTTTATGGGGACAGGTAGAAAGCCAGGGAGGTGGGACAAGGACAGTGGTGTGACTGCGGGGCTGAGCTAATGTGCCCACCCACTACATAAGAGATGGAGTAGGCTAGAGCAGTGCTCGTTCTTGTGTGAATACACGCACAGTCGCTCAGTCATGTTCGACTCTCGGTGAACTTATGGACTGTAGCCTGCAAGTCTCCTCTGTCCATGAGACTTTCCAAGCAAGAATATGGGCATGGGTTGCCGTTTCCTACTCCAGGGGATCTTCCTGATCCAGGGATCGAACCTGAGTCTCCTGCATTGGCAGGTGGATTCTTTACTGCTGAGTCACAGGGGAAGCCCACTGGTCATTCTTAGCTCATGGAAAAATATCTTGCAAGTTTTCCTACCATGAGCTGCTCCTTTGACCTCCTAAGTTATAAGGTTACCCCTTACTTGGTTGTTATTGAACTCCAAAAGAGACCTATTCCTCCAAGGAAACCATCAGTCCTAGGGACCATCTCATTCAGAAGTGATCCCCACAAAGGCATGAAAGCAGAGGAGGAAGGAGGATGAGAGGGACAAAGAAATACACAGGTGAGACTTCTTGTTCTCAAACCCAGCTTCCATAACACTATTTTTGAAAGGGTAGATGCCCGGGCCCCACCCTAGAGATTCTAACCCTTTAAAAATTCTGCAATGCAGCTTAGGAGGTTGTAGCTTGAAAATACCCCCACAGTTGCCTCTAATACTAATCAGAGCTACTCCTTGCTTTGCTCATGAAATTAGTTACTTGGTGTTAGTCACTTAATTGTGTTGGACTCTTTGCAACCCCATGGACTGTAGCCCACCAGGCTCCTCTGTGCATGGAATTCTCCAGGCAAGAAAGCTGGAGTGGGTTGCCATTCCCTACTGCAAGGGGATCTTCCCAACCCAGGGATTGAAAACAGCATTTCCTGCATTGCAGGCAGATTCTTTACTGTCTGAGCCACCCAGGAAGCCCTTGCTTATAAAACAAGGCCCTAAATCAGTCATCCCACTGTACATTCTTCTGATCAAGCAGGCCCTGTCTTCTTTCAAATAGGTGTGGATGTGTACATGTGGCACAGTTTTATATCTTCTTTTACTTTGGTGGTTTAGTCACTAAGTCATGTCTGATTCTTGTGACCCCCATGGACTGTAGCCCACTAGGCTTCTTTGTCCATGGAATTTTTCAGGCAAGAATACTTGAGTGGGTAGCCATTCTCTTCTCTAGGGCATCTTCCCGACCCAGGGATGGAACCCACCTCTCCAGCATGGCAGGCAGAGTCTTTACTGCTAAGCCACCAGGGAAACCCCTTTTACTTTGGTAGTAAAGGGATATATGCTGCCTTAACTCAATAACCATTTTTTTAATCTGGAAAAAAAATTGTCAGAGTGTTTCTGAATCTTGCACATCAGTCTGTTCCTTGCCAGGATGGGTTAAGAGGGGAGGACACTGCACCTCTTACAGGAACTGCTTCCTTTGTGCTATTTCAAGAATCATCCTGCCCTGCAGATAGAATTCCCTGGCAGAGTTGCTAACCTGGGTCCTCCTGGCTATCCCAGAGAAGGGATACTCCTAGAATTCAGGGAGGTGGAGGTGGAGGTGGGAATGGAGGTAACCAACACAAACACACCATCAAAATCCATCAATCAGATTGCATTAAGCTTTATAACAACACAGTTTTCAGTTAGCGAGAGAAATGACAGTTTAATAACAGTTGAACAGATTTCACTCCCTCCCCCCACTCATACATATTTCCAATTTTGATAGAACAGTTCCTGGTTCTGGAGATCTGTGAAGAGTGCTTCATGTCAAATGCTGCATTTTAATGGAATCAAACTAATGGGAAGGGACATTTGATGCAGCAGCCCTTGATGGGGGTGTCCTCAGACAGCCCTTACCCTCCCCCACCCCCTGACACTCTGACAAAAGGAGTCAGCCTGCTTGTTGCTGCCCCAATACGTGCCATCTCTGAATCGAGCAAATGAAGCGTGAGATGACCACGAAGGGGAGATGGTGGGACAAAGAGAGAGATGGTGATCAATCCCCTGTGGGTTGGGTTGCTAAAGGTTATTCATGACAAAAGACATGCCAGCTCTCTGGTCCCTGCTCCTCGGGGGACCCTAAAGGAGAGAGCCCCTCCAAAAGCTTGTCTCAGATCCATGCTGCTGACGGTCTCAGAGATGGAGACCTCCCACCAAGAAGACTGGTTTTCTTTTTTCACTCCCAGAGATGGCATTCATCTTTTCCAACCTCAGAGCTTTGGGCTCAGCTGCAATTCCCTTGCTCTAAGAGCAGTCCTGTGAGTCTGATTCTAAGGAGGGCCCAGACTAAGCTTCTCTACCACCCAGGATACTCATGAAGAGAGGGACCCAACTGCCCTTCGAAGGCTCTTGGAAGGAAGGCTTCCAGGGACGTCAGCTTTTTGTTTTTGGTGAGGAATGTGCATGCCTCTGCCTTCATCAGATGAGGAGTGAGGAAGTCAAAGGGTTGTGGGATGAGACCTTTAAGGAGAAGGCTTGAGACACCTTAAGAGGGAGGATCTTGCTCCCTAGGAGTCCTGGAGCAATCAGCCACAATTAGTATTCTGGCGAAATGCCAAAGCAGAGGTTGATAGAGCAGGGGACCTGTGCCAGATATGGGGCTAGAACTTGGGCTTCTCAAGTTAAAGTGAGAGGTCCCTGCCCAAAGTAGACCTTCCCTTCTTTCTTATTTAAACAAACATTCATGGCACTATCTCTGACCTTGACAGCTATCTATCCTGTCTTCAGACTGGATTAACCCACAGAAGACAAGAATTAGCAGCGGATTCTGGTGGCCAGCTGGTCAACCAGATGCTGCTACCCAAGCAGGCCTGGTACCCTATGAGCATGCCAGGGGATCCACCCCTCTGCCAACAGCATTGGAAGCAATCCTGACTGGACAAAGAAGGAGATCTACTTGGCACCCCAGCAAGGCTGAGGCTACAGATCTGGGGGATTCAGGACTCGGGTCAGGAGCCTCCCTAGAAACTCGCCAGGCTTCCCGGCACATCGCGAGCCTCATTTGTCACCCTCTTCCTGTTCCCACCGGAAATCTTGACCAGTCATTTGGTAAAACATCATGTTGAAGGGTTTGTAGAACTTCCGCAGTCTGTGGATCACATCCGGGTCAATGCGAGGATGAGTCCGACCCTTGCTCTTGCCTAAGCACCGGGGGGCACTGCTGTCTTCTGGCTTCTTTAAGCAAGGGAACCCCTTGGTTTTGTTGAAATAGAAATGTTTCTCAGTCACTACACGCTTGAGGCCTAGAAAATCCTGTACTTTGGCCATTTCCCCGGCGGGGTCCACTATGAGTCGCTCACCGCTGACGAAGAGGATCTGAGAGAGGGGGAAATACTGGAGCCAGTTTTCCAGATGCAGAGCATAGATTCCTATTCGAATGGCGCTCCAGGAGGCGTCGATCAGCCCTAGGGTCCTATTTTTGAAGGCCAGCACCTCGAAGGTGGGGATTTCGGGTTTCTTTGACAGTGTCTGGGTGTAGTCGGAGATGGCCCTGGTCACGGGGTTCCTCACCACCACGATGAGTTTGATGTCCTTGGCCATGGAGTGGATGCGCTTGGGAGCCTCATTTGTCACAAAGTAACTTGGCGTCTTCTCCATGGTTAACTGTCCATCCAAAGTCTTGGGCATCACATTTCTAGAAGAAGGAGGAAAACAAAAGACTGGTTATTCCTATCCAGAAATAACTGAACTTGTCCCAGGAAACATATGATATAAACAGCTCAGTGGGGAACTACCAAATAAAATTCATATACACTTGGAAGTTCTTTTTAGACGTGTGAGTTGCTCAGTCGTGTCCAACTCTTTGCGACCCCATGGACCACAGACCCCCGAGCTCCTCTGTCCATGGAATTCTCCAGGCAAAAATATTGGAGTGAGTATCCATTCCTTTCTCCAGGGGATCTTCCTGCCACAGAAACTGAAGATGGGTCTTCTACACTGCAGGCAGATTCTTTACCATCTGAACCAGCAGAGAAAACCTTTTTAGACTGTATGTCTCACTATAGTTCTGATTAAAGTATTATCATAAGAGGCAGCAAAAAGCTTGTGCATTCATTCTTGGGAATGTTATACACCTGGCATTTAAATTGCAGCTCTAGCTCTTGCCAGTTATGTTTAACCTAGTTGGACTCTTAATTTCTCTGTGTATTAGTTTTATAATCTCTGAAATAAAGATAATGATAGCACCTACTTCACATGGTTGTAAAAGGATTAAAGGAGATAATGCTTTTAAAGCATTTAGCACAGAAGCTGGCATGTGTAAGAGCTTAATAAATCAAGGATAGGATTGTTGTAGTGGCTTTTGGAAAGTGTTTGAGCTCAGCAAGACCTCAAAGGTGATCTAGCCTAAGGGTTGGCAAACTACTGCCTGCCTCCTGTTTTTGTATGGCCCACAGGTAAGAATGACTTCTCATCTTTAAAGTGAAGTGAAAGTGAAAGTCACTTAGTCATATCCTACTCTTTGCGGACCCCATGGACTGTAGTTCGGATGGGGGAAAAACAAAAATAATAAGACTAACATTTTGTGGCACATGCAAATTGTATGTAATTCACATTTCAATGCTTATAAATAAATTGTCATTGGAACATGGTCACTCATTCCTTTCTGTAAAGTCTGTGGCTGCTTTTTGCATCTACATCAGCATAGTTGAATACCTGCAAACAGAGACCATATCACATGCAAATCTGCACACATTTTATAACTGGCCCTTTAAGATATCATTGGCTGGCCCCTAACCTAGATGAAAAGGTCCATCTAGTCAAAGCTGTGGTTTTTGCAGTAGTCATGTATGGATGTGAGAGTTGGACAAAGAAGGTTGGGTGCCAAAGAATTGGTACTTTCGAACTGCGGTGTTGGAGAAGACTCTTGAGAGTCCCTTGGACTGCAAGGAGGTCCAACCAGTCCATCCTAAAGGAAATCAACCCTGAATATTCACTGGAAGGATTAATGCTGAAGCTGAGGCTCCAATACTTTGGCTACCTGATGTGAAGAGTCGACTCACTGGAAAAGATCCTGATGCTGGGAAAGATAGACGGCAGAAGGAGAAGGCAACAATAGAGGACGAGATGGTTGGATGGTATCACCGACTCAATGGACATGAGTTTGAGCAAGCTCTGGGACATGGTGAAGGACAGGGAAGCCTGGTGTGCTGCAGTCCATGGGGTTGCAAAGAGTCAGATATGGCCAAGTGACTGAACAACAACAAACCTAGTCAAAGGGTTTCCATGGTGGCTCAGTGGTAAAGAATCCACCCAAAATGCAGGAGACTCGAGTTCAATCCCCAGGTCAGGAAGATTCCCTGGAGAAGGAAATGGCAACCCACTCGAGTATTCTTGCCTGGGAAATCCCATGGACAGAGGAGCCTGATGGGCTATGCTGAGCCACTGGGAAGCCCAATAGATCCCACACCAGGTCCCATATCTCTTGGTTTCCTTCCCAAGGTTGCATCTCAAACCCACCCCTCCATCCCTGTTCACCTTCAGAGTGGCCTTGTCTTACTTGGGAGCTTCAAGGGACTAAAGGAATTTGATGCTATTGGTTCTCTAATACCAATGTGGCCAGTCTATCAGTGATAAAATGAGGCTCAAGATCCTATTATACAGTCAATTTGCTGTAGGCATATGTGGACCAAAGTTAATTGACGATAAACCTGTTCCATACCTGTTGGTACAGCAGGCCATCTGCCACCATGTACTCCATTAAGTCTATTCACTTCTGAGCCTTGCACCAAAGTGGTACATTTAGGATTACACAAGACCTCTTTGTTATGATGACACGCTTTTAAATGTCTCAGCTAATAAAACTTAATACAGACGAAGATCCCTCAGCTTCCCCTACCATAATTAAATTTATTTACTATCGCCTGTGTGGAGAAAGAATGACTTTTCTTTTATCTCTAATTCACATGCTCTGTCAATAATTAATTGCTACTGGGTTTTGAGCTTTCTCGGCAAGCACTTTTATTAGGCAAGAGGAATGTGCCTCTTGTCTAATGCAGAGAAATTCACATGGAGTTTGATGTCGTTTGGGTATAATGATTGGGCAGTGAGCAGTTTTCAGATCAAAGCAATAGCTCTGGCCATAAATAATCATACTCATCTTGAACAGACATCTTCTCCCCAGTATTTCAAATGTCTTCACATTTGTGTGCCTCTTTGGTTTTCATCAGATTTAATTATGTTGCTTGGAGGGGCAGTGCTAAGGAACATAGTTTTGGGGGAGTCACACTTGTCTGATTTCAGAGTTCTGACTACCCATATCACCTTGATGAAGTGACTAAACCAACCAGTATTCTTAGGCTTCCCTTGTGGCTCAGCTGGTAAAGAATCTGCCTACAATGAGGGAGACGTGGGTTAGATCCCTGGGTTGGGAAGATCCCCTGGAGAAGGGAAAGGCTACCTACTCCAGTATTCTGGCCTGGAGAATTCCATGAACTGTATAGTCTCTGGGGTCGCAAAGAGGCAGGTACAACTGAGCCACTTTCACTTGCACAAACCACTCTGGTGGTTAATAGGGTTAATAAGTGAAAGTGTTAGTTACTCAGTCGTGACCGACTCTTTGTGATCCCACGGCTCCTCTGTCCATGGAATTCTCCAGGCAAGAATACTGCAGTGGGTAGCCATTCCCTTCTCCAGGGGAATCATCCTGACCCAAGGAGTGAACTTGGATCTCCTGCATTGCAGGCAGAGACTTTACTGTCTGAGCCGCCAGGGAAGCCCAGGGTTAATAAGAATCCCTCTCTCATAGGATTGTAGAGAAGATAATACAGGTGAATCACTTGGAATAGTGTCCAACAAATGCCAGAATTTTAAAAGCTTAAGCCAGGGGCACACAATCATTGGAACAGCAATTGTTAGAGAAGGGCAAGGAGAAAATATTTATGTTTGACCAAATGGAAAAGTTGAACAACATGGAAACTAAGGAACTGATCTAGAAAAAAAAAAAAGAATATTCTGATTCAAGTCCATATCACCATACTTCCTGATCAGGGGAGCTGCTATTAGTTTAGCTGGAGGTGAAGGAATATACTTATATCCCACTTTTAATCCAATTAGAGAGATTCTCTTATTTTATTGTGAAACTCATGTCATAGTATAAAAATACTAAGTAAATTGTTGATGCAAAAAATACTAAAGATAGATATTTTTAATACATGGCCATTTCCAGAATTTTGCCCCTCAGTATATATACATTGCTCTTTTATTTTGTTGCTTTCTTTTTTTTTTTTTTTTAGCTGCTAGGGTTTTCTTCTCATCCAGTCTCTGCTGTTGACTTCTTAGAGCTCAGTGTTTATCTTTATACTGACCTCGTTCAAATTCATCTCCTTCACTTCAGCTAATTGCTGCAGTCTGTCAAGATCTTTGTGGATCTTGAGTTTTTTATCTGAAGCATCTGAGATAAATGGTATCCAGCCTGTAAGCCAGTGTATATAGGGGAGTAAGTGTATGCCTAGTTCAGTGATCAATGCAAATAAACGGTATCCAGCCTGTATGGCTCAGATGGTAAAGAATCTGTCTGCAATTCGGGAGACATGGGTTCGATCCCTGGGTTGGGAAGATCCCCTGGAGGAGGGAATGGCAACCCACTCCAGCATTCTTGCCTAGAGAATTCCATGGACAGAAGAGCCTGGTAGGCTACAGTCCACAGGATGGCAAAGAGTTGGACACAACTGAGCGACTTTCACTTTTACTTTTCAAGCCAGTGTATATAGGGAAGTAAGTGCGTGCCTAGCTCAGTGATCAATGCAAACAGCAATGAGTGGAAGGGGGCTAGAGAGGCAACAGAGAGAGTAGTGGGGAACAGAGATGCCTAAATGGCTTTGATTGTCATGTTACAGATGGATACCACCATGCATTTGAGAAGAGTTCCTGCACTTGGGGCACATATGGGAAAACCGTCTCATATGTGGAATCTAGGAAAATGGTACAGATGAACCTATTTCCAGGGCAGGAATAGTGACACAGACATAGAGGACAGATATATGGACATGGGGTGTGGGGAGGGGAAGGTGGGATGAATTAAGAGATTGGAATTGACATATATACACTGTTATGGGTAAAATAGCCAGCCAGTGGGAAGCAGCTATATAGCACAGACAGCTCAGCTCAGTGGTCTGTGACAACCCAGGGGGTGAGATGGGGGTGGGAGGAAGGTCCAAGAGGGGGGGATGTATGTATGCTTACAGCTGATTCACTTCAGAACTAACACAATGTTGTAAAGCAATTATACTCCAATTAAAAAAAAAAAAGACAACTATTGTTGTGTGAGATATACAGGAATTTTCGCCAGTAACTAGGTATCCAGTAGATGCTCAAAATCAATGAAGTAGCAGACCCTCCTTCCCAAAAAAGATTCTGAATCAGTTATACTCATTCATTCTTTCCATAAATGCTCACATCCCTAAATGGCAATATACTAGTAAACATAACAGACAAGGTCCTTCCCCCACCCCCAGAGCTTCTAGTATAACTGCTACATCCAATAAAAGGAGAGTTCTGTATAGTATCACATAAATAACTATTTTGATCAAAAGAGCAGGTATTATTACTTTTCACTTTTACAAAGAAGGAAACAGACTCAGAACCTACTTTTTCAAAGTAGTAGTAGTAGTCTTGGTTCCTAAGCTCAATGGCCAAGCAAACATCTACCACCAGCTCCTGGCAAATAGCAGGTGCTCGGTAAATATCTGTTGAATGAATAGATGAGTAAGCCATTAGGCTCCTGTTCTAAGGTGAGGCTTTGTTGTGATAGCTTTTGCTGCCCCAATCTCACCAATTCTCAGCCCTTATCCCCTCACCAATCTACTCACCTGGGTCCTTATTTCAGCAGCAATCTCTTTACCTAGAAATAGCTAGATATGTCTAGATATCTGTCTGTCTGTCTATCGACCTAGGTATTTCTAGATACAGCTATTTCTATATCTAGAAATAGAGCTTCCTTGTTCCTAAAAAAAAAAAAAAACTAGAGGAGACAGCTCTCTAAAGTGTAAGACCAACCCCTCCCCACAAGGGCTTTGCATCTTATCTCCTTCTACCTTCTCAGGAATTTTTCATCCCAGCTTTCCTTCTCTCTCCTGGTTTTAGGTAAGTTCTTTTTGGCTGGATCTGACATTTCACCAAGCCCACGCTCTCACATCTTTATGTGCTTGAGGAACAGGGAGGTGACCAGTCGTGCCAGAGGGGAGTGAGCAAGGCTAAGGAAGTAAGGACACAAGGTCAGGGGGTGTGGAGGAAAAGACCATGAGGTCGAGGGCGGGGGCTGCTGTTCATACGGGCCACGGGCAAGACACTGGGTTTTATTCCATACATGGAGGAACCATTGGAGAACAGGAAACAGGAGAACATAAGCTTTACATTTTAAGAGATCTTTCTCCAGCTGCTTTGCTGAGAACACACAGGTATGTGGCAAGAGCAGAAGGAAGGCTGCCTGCTAAGAGGCCATTGCTGGAGGGTAGGTCAGAGATGGGGGTGCAGGCACGCAGGTGGAGAGGGCAACCCAGGAAGTAGCGTTCAGAATTGGGATGTCTTTAAAAAGTAGGGCCAATAGTCCCTCAGGATGGGTGGGATGTGTGTGAAGAGAGAGTGTCTTAGAAGACTCCAAGACTGTTGGCCTGAGCTGATGATTAAGTAGTAGTTTATCAACGTGGAGAACCCTGGAAAAGAAGCCAGTTTCAGGGGAAGAAACCAAGTCTGATTTTGGACTTGTAATCTGAGATACTCACATGGAGGAGTTGATACAGGAGTCTGAAACTCAAGGGAGATGCCAGTTGGAGGTGGACATTTACATCACGTGTTCACAATCAACTTGCCAGAAAAGCAGGGCGAAGGAATATCAGAGTCTCTTTACCTTCACTAGGAGAAGGTGGGAAATGATCTTTGCCTATCTGGGGAGTACTCCTAAAGAGACACAGGAGACACGGGTTTGATCCCTAAATCGGGAAGATCCACTGGAGGAGGAAATGGCAACCCACTCCAGTATTCTAGGCTGAAGAATTCCATGGACAGAGAAGCCTCTTGAGCTACAGTTCAAAAGGGTCATAAAGAGTCGGACATGACTGAGTGACTAAGCACACACTTGAATAGGAAATGTATTTACAGACACTAATGTGCAAAAAGAAATTTTAACTCCATCACCAAGATTTTCACCAACTCCTTTGAATTCCCAGGGTCTCTGATAACTTTCTGTGTTACACAGCTTAAAATAATGTCATCATATGGTTAGGATAATGTATTAATGAGAGAAGGAAATGGCAACCCACTCCAGTATTCTTGCCTGGAAAATCCCAGGGACAGAGGAGCTTGGTGGACTACAGCCCCAGGGATCCCAAAAGAGTCAGACATGACTAAGCAATTGAACAACAAACATCATAATATGGTTGGTTCCTATGCCCTCCATGACTAAGCTCAGTTTCTGGAAGACTTGGCAATGTTTCATTCATCTGTGTATCCCCAGTGCTTGACACAGTCCCTACTGCATGGCAGCTGCCCCATAATGATGTGTGGGTTTTGGGAGAATGAATGAATGACATACAAATGGAAACATGATCGTTGGAAGTCAGGAGAACTGGGGCAGTTTGGAGGGCTCCTCTAAGTAGGTTTGTGGTGCATGGGGTTCAGCGTTTCTGAATTCCACGTCATCTCCTGTCTGAAGGACCCTGCATTGCAGCATGGACATATGGTGA